GGTGTGGCATAAAAATAACAAGGCATTGATAAAGGCCGTAAATTTAAAGGGGCGGATACCCGACGTATAAGCTCTTCGGATTCACTTTGGCGATCCTCAAGATCGAAGATGGAAAGATTTGTTGAACCAGTTTTCAAGACCGACGACCGAAGATGAAGAACAGTTCGGAAGAATCGAGGAGCGTCCCCAACTTGAAGACCGGTTCAGGAGGGTTACTGACGGTGTCCTGGACTAGGGGGTACTCACCACATCGTCTCCCGATCAGTTAGATTGGGCCGAGGACCCCATGGCCGTATACTCATGGGCCACTTCGGACAGCTCTTGCCGCATACTATGAAGACTCCACAAGACTTGGCGCCCAAGACAAGGACTCTCTTAAACCCTAGGCCTCCGGTGTCTTATATAAACCGAGGCCTGGCTAGTCAATAGACAATCTCATATTCATTACTACAATATCGTGGTAGACCCGTGTACTCTGTACTACATCCATATGAATACAATCAAAAGCAGCATATAGGGTATTATCTCATCAAGAGAGCCCGAAGCTGGGTAAAACCCCGTATCCATGTTACCATCACTCCAAAACGCCTAGCTTAGGACCCCTACTACGAAATACGCCGGATATTGAACCGACAGGCGGCACAGGTATAAATATGTCGGCTAAAGAGGACCGGTGAAGCTGCGCGTGCATGCAAGCTTCACGCGTCCACTCCCAATAAGGCTCGTTTCATGTCTCTTCTGTCACCTCTTCATGTCAGATCCTGCTGTTTAATGGACATCGTTTTCTGTGTCCACCGAAATTGATTTTAGCAGATTATGTCTTCCCAGGAAATATCATGTCTAAGCTTGTACACATACAAGAAACATGTCAGTGTTAAACACTAATAAATTGATTTATTTTACTTAGGAGGAGTATAAGATACTCCATAGTTGGCTCAGTTCTTTCTTTTAATGCATATAAATGAACAAAAACAGAGTGTTATTGCAGGTAAAGAACAATGTTCAGTTCTTTCTTTTCTGACGGATTCACCTCCTCACAGCATACGACATGAAGATAAGGAGGTCTCGTGCTACCGAGAGCATCTACGGATGGATATGTAGAATATGACCCCCTCAAAAGCTCACGGATGTGCGTCCATGGGTAGCAACTGGGTACTCCTTAAATGAGCACAGCTGAAGCCGGACATCTCATACTCGATTCTTAAATCCATACAAAGACATGCGAAAGAGATAAACCTACGTACTACGCCGATCACCTAGCTACTCCTCGTCGGAGATGTAGACAATCTCCGTGCCCGGCTCCAGCAGCATGGGCGGCAACTGCAGTTCCTGCTCCTCCGGCGCCTCCAACTGCTCCGCTCCGGCCTCCTCCTCCTATATCTCCGCCTCGAGTTCGGCAAAGAGTGCGTCGGACGCCGCATGCTCTTGCCGGAGGAACGCCCGGTTGGCCTTCACAACAGCCTCATCCTGAATGGATTCCAGGATGGCCTGGTGCTCCGCCATCTCCTCCAATTGGGCGACAGCGAACTCTGCATCCGCCTGCTCCATGTTGAAGCTCGGCAGCTCCTGCCCTGGCAGCTCCGGCTCCGGCTGCTCTGCTCCTCCTTCACCTACATCGGAGCCAGGTCCTCTCCCTCCTCTTCCCCTGGCTGCTCCTCCTCCTCCTCCGGCTCCAGCGAGTCCGAAGGCAGCCCGACAGTGATGCGGGCGGCGCGCACGGCTTATCTCGCCTGGATCTCCTACTGGATCTCGTACTGGCGCTCCAGCGTGAGCATTGCGTAGTAGGTGATCTTCCTCCGGACCATGGCGGAGCGCCAGAGTGTGGGAAAAGCACTGGAGCAGGAGAGGGGGTGGATCGGCTCTGACTGGCGGCGCGAACAGGGGGTGGGCTAGGGTTGCGGGGCGCCGGACGGCTTAAATGGACACGGCGGTGAGCCTGTTCGGCTCCACGCGGCGTTCACACTGCGGCAATGGACACGGCGTCTGTCAGACCAACAGGTTTCCGGGCTAATCTGTGTGGGACCCCATCGTCAGGCCGACATGGCGGGCATGCCCAGACGCACCCAGGCGCCCTATACGCGCCCGAGCGTTTGAGGCCCGTTTGAGACGCTCATATAGGTTAAAATTTCGCAACCGGGCAGTGACCAGTCGACCCGCCCGAGCATATAAGGCGGGTTTGAAAGTTCCGGCTATAGATGCTCCCGAGAACCACATGACTTGGACCGCGGGAGAGAATGGACGACCTCGCGTGCAAGCCTGAGTATCTATTGCTGAAGTTGGGTTGTGAGTTATGACGCCACATGTCAGAAATGTCAGTTCAGTTCTACTTGTGATTCATGGTGAGTGATCGTCGAAAAAAGTCTTTCTTTCTCCTTGGCCCTTAAACAAACGTTAAAGATATATCTCAGTGTCAAGTCAGGGGTGAAAATCACCCAAAGAAAAATCGTCGTTGCCCGGAGATTGAACCCGGGTTATAGGCAGGAATACTAATGGGAGCGATGTCCGCGTCAATGGTTGAGGTAGTTTGTTTTTTTTCCGTGTGTCTGCGGGATTGCCTCGGTTTATTTGTTATTATGAAGTCGAAGCTACGGCGGCGGGGCCATGTGACGTACGATGACTGATTGCAGGTGGCCTGTTCAGCGATCTTCCATGGCACCAGCTGTGCCTGGTTCTGTCCTTCGTAGTTATTGTCAGAGTCAGAGTTTAATGTCTGATGTTGGTAGCACATCGTCAACTTTTTCAGCGGCTACTAAACAATAGCAGATATGCTATTACAATTTTGTCGTATATCTTCAACTCCTAAGCTCCCTTGAAATACAGAACTCAGTTTTTGAGAAGTTAATACATGCGTCATAGATGAGCGACGTGTGTGAAGTGTTGTCTCCATATAATAGACCAGCAAAATTTATGTAAGAGATTGTTGTGCCAAACCAGTCATCAAACACAACGTTAGAGGTAAGCGTGAGCGCTGGTGGTGTCGTAGATTTCACTGTGCCCAGGTGAAAACACGTTAATGAGAGAGAACAACAAGAGGAGAAATGTCTTTGCTTTGTTTCCTGAAGGAACCCCTATGTGGCTTTGTCTCTTCCCCTTTCTCTTCTCAATTTGGATCCATGGAGGTGGCCGACATGGACGCCATCAACCACGACGCTAGGGTTCCTAGCCGCTGCCACATGCACAGCCATCCGGAGCCACCTCCGCTCCCGCGCCCATTGATGGTCCTCCCCACCGTAGCCCGGAGCTGCTCCGCCCATCTCTACCAGCTGGATCAGCTCAAGCATGAGGCCACCACGTGTGGCTGCCGTGTGTGGTGGCGGAGCATAGTATGCAAGGTGAGGGCTCTAATCTAATCGGATCAGATCGAATCCCACCGGACGGCTCGGCCCGCTCACCATGGCTGATGATCGCGTCGACCAGGACCACGTCCCTCCCCAAACGGCAGCGATGATGGAGGGAGTCGCCATCGCTGGCCAGCTACCGACCGGGAGGCTCGCCAGGTCGCCGTTCCTCAAGGCCAGTCCCTTCCCCGCCGGATCGTGCATCCGCTTGGAGGCCCCTCTTTGGCTGACCCCGATGCGGGAGGCGTTCTTGACCATGTGGACTGGGGACCAAGCGGCGGGGCCCATGGTGCGTTCCGGTTGAGGGCTTGCTCGGGCTAGCGCGGGATATCAGCCCTTGTCGATGGATTTCTCGCAGCTTGGCTGCATTTTATTTTGGAGTCGGTACATCCCGGATCTCTCTCTCACTTGTTGCGGCCGAAATCATAGTTTTGACTTATTTGGAATAGTTCAACACAAAATGAACCATGTTGGAAACTTCTGTGGGCGATGATGATAAAACATGGCTGGCATAAACTTGTCTTTGATCATTCGAGGAGTTGTGGGCATCAAAAACCCACTCCCCCATCCCTCTTTTGGAACCTTTTCATTCTCATCGAATATTGATGGCTCTGTCTTGGATGGTCATTCTTTGAGTGATAACGAGAGGAGCTCGACTTCAATGGTGGGGATTGATCTAGTGTAAGAAGACGGGGCTCGGGTGGAAGACTGAGAGTGACAATGAGGAAATGGATGACTGGGGCAGACAATAAGAGGAGCTTAGCAGTAGTGCGGTTCTAAGCCAGATACCTGTAGCACTGCGCAACTGGACTACTACTGATGTACATATAGGCTTTTTCTTAGTAGTGCTAGCTCATGGTAGCATTCTCCCTTATGTTGTCTCTCAGATTGACAATCAAATAAAGGCACTCCTATATGAGTACGACGCCGAATCATTCATACTATTTGTGAACTTTTAAATTATCATTATCAACACTTACACATGCATTTATTTCTCTTTCATTTTATTGTGTTTTCTTTTGGATTTATCTATGCTGCGGCCCCAGCGAGCTGGATGTATCAGATGTTTGCTTTATAATATAAAGCGGGGGCAAGCCCTTTATTGGTGGTTGTAGTGCTGGTCTGTTATACAACCTTGCTACTATCGCTAGCCCCGGGGTGTAATGAGGACCACTTAGCAGTAGCGTGGGTGACCAGATCGTCGCCCTACTGCTAAACCCTACATGCAGTGCATTTTTTTGGGCCGCGCTACTACTAAGTAACGGTAGCACCGGCTACCCCGTGCTACTACTACTGATCTATCTATAGGCGTTTTCCTAGTAGCGCTAGCTCATGGGTGGCATTCTCCCTTATGTTGTCTCTTAGATTGACAATCAAATAAAAACACTCCTATATGAGTACGACGCGGAATCATTCATACTATTTGTGAACTTTTAAATTCATCATTAACAACACTTACACATGCAAGGTGTACATGACATTCACGTGTAAACATCACACTCACGTTATTGGGCACAAACCACACAAGATTTTAAATGCATATTAGTATATAAGCTAATAATAAGTTGTAGAAGGATAATTACCACGTACGATTGCAAGCGAAGTGACGTATGGGTGATGACCACACATGCACACGTTCATTCGTTCCCTCGCGGTGATCGATCAAAAAGCCACTTCGGCCTTGGCAAACTCCTCTCTCTTCTGGTTCACGTCGGCCACCATCTTGCCGAACCTGCACGGCGGGCTGACCACCGGCACCGTGCCACGCGCATACTGCCCACCACCGGCACGCTCGCTGCGAAGTCCACTGGCATGCATGTCCTTCGACTTGTGTGCGATAATGACGGAGTTCACCACGTCGTCGTCGGGGTGGCACACGGCCAGCACCTCAAACCCGCCTCGGCCGATGTCCTGGGGGTCCACGATCGGGTATAGGAACCCGCGTGCGCCGTGCGCGCTGCGCACGACGAGGGCCGCCCCGTCTGCCATGTGCGTGCCAAGGTGCGCGATCACCCTGGCCTTTTCCTCGGCGGCCATGCCCACGAGCGCCGCCAGGAAGACGACGTCGTACTTGGCAAGCTCGCCGGCGAGGTCCGCGACGTCGGCCGTGTGGAACGACATGCGGGCGCCCACGTCCGTGTCCGCGCGGAACAGCTTGCTGGCGCGCTCGTTGGCCGCGCCGCACAGGTCGTAGTTGTCAAACATGGTGTCGGGCAGGTGGCGCGCGGCGAGGACGAAGGAGCTGAACGGGAGCGGGCCGGAGCCGATGAAGGCGACGCGGGCCGAGGCGATGCCGCCGGGCACGTAGCGCGCCAGCAGCTCGTACTCGAGCTTGCTGAGGTTGACGTAGTTGCTGTAGTAGGGGAACACGCCGAGGTGGTCGAGCGGGTTGTCGAAGGCGGCGAGCATGTCGGAGTAGTGCGCCTCCAGCTTCCCCTCGGCCTCGGAGCAGAGGCGGATGAGGCCCTCGCGCATCTCCTGCGCCTCCGGGCCGAGCTTGGTCACGTCCACGGGGCTCGGGGGGACGCACGCGATGACCAGCTCGGTGAAGAGCGCGTCGACGGCCGGGGATGGGCTGAGCGACGGCAGCTTGGCGATGGCGGCGTGGAGGCCGGTGATCTTCTCCACCAGGGCGGCGACCTCCTTGTTCTGGGCATCCATTTTACTACTCTTGGTGAGGCACAGGAGTAGAGCGGTTGATGGAGCTGCGTGATGAGCTATGGAGCGGGCAGCACGGGGTATAAATATGTAGCTGTGGGCTAAAGAGGACCGGTGAAGGTGCGCGTGCATGCAAGCTTCACGCGTCCACTCCCAATAAGGCTCGTTTCATGCCTCTGCTGTCACCTCTTCACGTCAGATCCTGACGTTGAAATGGGCATCGTTTTCTCTTTTCCGTGCCTACCGAAATTGATTTGGGCTGATAATGACTTGCCAGATATATACTCTTGTCACTAATTAATTGATTTCTTTTACTTGGTAGGAGTATAAGATACTCCATAGCTGATTTTTAGTGAATAAATGAACCAAACACAGAGTGTTATTGCAGGCGAAGAACAAAGTGTTCGGATTCATCTCCTCACGGCATACGGCATGAAGATAAGGAGGGTCTCGTGCTACTGAAGACCCACATGACCGTGGGAGAGAACGGACGACCTCAGGTGTCTGCTCTACAAGCAAACCTGAGTGTTTGTCGCCGAAGTTTGGTTGTGAGTTATGACGCCACATGTCAGAAATGTTAGTTCAGTTATAGTACTTGTGATTCATGGTGAGTCATCGTGGACAAACGTATATTTTCTTTCTCTTTGGACCCAAATAAACATAAAATATATCAGTGTCAAGTCATGGGTGACAATATATCAGTGTCTGGTTATGTCCTTCGTAGTTATCGTCAGAATCGAGTTGCGATGTCTGATATTGGTAGCTCATCCTCAAAGTTTTTTGGCGGCTACCAATAATAACAGATATGTTATTACTACCTCTCTTTCAGTTTACAAGGCGTGTGCGTATCCCTAGGTTTTCAATTTGACCAACCTAATATAAGTAATATATTACAAGAATTATACCAATATAAACTTCAGATGTTTTATTTTTAAAAGATATAATTTTTGTGTTATATAGTTTATGTTAGGGTGATCAAATTGGCAACCTAGGTATACGCGTAGGACTTGTAAAATGAGACGGAGGAAGTACAATTTTTTTTTCATATATCTTCAACTCCTAGGCTCCCTTAAAATAGAGAACTCTTGGTTCTGAGAAGTGTCATCGATGAGGACGTACGTGAAGTGTCGTCTCAACAAAATAGAGCAACAATATTTGTGTAAGAGATTGTTGCGCCAAGCCGGTCGTGTCTACACCATTTGGTGGCAACTATCTACCGGTGAAAACATTTTCTCTTCAACCATGTCTATGCTTTCTTTGGATCTCACGTCACGGTCACCTCTAAAATCACCAAATCAACGACATAAAATCGTCATTAAATAAACAAGTACTCCCTCTGTCCCATAATATAAGAGCGTTTTCTACATTAGTGTAGTGTCAAAAACGCTTTTATATTGTGGGACGGAGGGAGTAATAAATAATTCCTACAAGTAAGGAAACAACACCGCACACTGCATATGTATATACTTCTATCTCAAAAGAAAAGTGGAGAACTTATACTTCTATCTTTAAAGAAAAGTGGACGCCGAGTTCGCTAGCGAAGCTATGTTGAATGAAAAACAGTCAGCGATCACAGTAATTCCAGGACCTTTTTGTAAGAAATTATGATCTGTTAGCGAAGGTAAAACAAGGTTATGTTGAAGACAAACCTGTCAGGTATTACAATAAATTCAGGACCTTTTTGTAAGAAATTATGATCTGGTGTAGCACTATTTGCAGTGTGCGCACGAAGACAAGAAGGGAAGAAATCAACCCAGAAAGGACCTGTTTGTAATCTCCAAAATAAACAAGGACGCGAAAGTAGGTCCTTCGGGGGCATATCTGCGAGAAGGGAAAGGACCAGCGCGCAAAAATCTTAAATTTTTTTGGACCATTTCCTGATTTCGTTCCAATTTTATTGGATGTCGCTCAAAGAAAATCGGAATGCTGATTGGCATGCGTGCGTGTACCACGAGCAGAGGAGGATGGGGTTACCGGGGACTAGCTATATTAAAAGAATCGCCGTTGCCGGGGATCGAACCCGGGTCACCCGGGTGACAGGCGGGAATACTTACCACTATACTACGACGACTTGATTGATAGAATTTTGTTAATAACTATCTTTGAAGAGCTTGAGTAACATTGAGTCGGAGAAAAATCTCAGAGTCCAAGAGTAAAGCGGCGATGAGCCATGAAAGAAAATGAAGGTGCTCTGCGTCTGGGGATGGAGGTGTAAGGGAAGAGCAGATTCCTGTGTCCTTGCAGCAAAGCCAGGGAAAAATATCTTCACGTGAGCACATTCTATGGGGCGAAAAGGGACATACAAAATATCTTTGCCAGGCACTAAAAGAAATTCAGATGAAGAACGAAGGATACAGTTGAAAAAAAATTACGTTCTTGTTGGTATCCGGGTCACTTGCATGACGGACACAAATACTTTTTTTTTTGTGAACACTGGTCCCGAACTAAAGTAAGCTACTCTGTTTTACGTCATGTATTGGCAGGAATGGATATGAAATTTTCTTACAGATTTCCTATAGCTACCGCTAATGTGTGATTAGTACTAGGACTTCCTGCGCTCTTCCTTTGTCCACCAAACGCACGACCTTCCCACACTTCCTCAAACACAGTTTATCAAAAGACATTTTTCACATCCAGCACACAGGCTTTGATCAGCGCATCTATTTTGTTATCCATCTCCGGGTTATGTGTCTTCAGCCTCCTTCTTCCATGCCTTAAGTATCATCATCATCACCATCTCCTCCCTGACCCAATCATGATATCCATCGTGCCAGCCAGGAACTCCTTCAACGGTTCAACATCTTCAAGTATACTTTGTTTCACAATGGTAACTTGGTAAGTACTTCAACGGGGCATGATGCTAGCGATGGATCTACTCCCTCCGTTTCAAAATAGATGATCCAACTTTATACTAAAGTTAGTGCAAAGTTGAGTCATCTATTTTGGAACGGAGCGAGTACATGTCTCACAAGAGTTGCCTGGTTCGGAAATCTTGCCGAATACACCATTTACATCATGCAGTACATGTGGAGAAATGGATGTAACATTTTTTTAAAACAAAATAAGAAAGTATTCCAAAGATGTAAACTGTTATATGATCTTCTCAATGTTATTTCGTAGCATCGCATGTAACAAGGACCTTACCTGCAACGGGCCGCGATCATCAACAAATCTCCCGACTCCTCCCGTGTCGCCCCTGCGCGGCGACCGAGGGGAACCCTAGCGCCGCCGCGTCCTCGTCCCTCCCCCCTCCTCCTTACCACCGCCGGGGCGCGCCGCCGGGCAAAACCCGGTCGGCGTCGGCGTCGGTGGGATCTCTTCTCCCTCGGCTCGCTGGATTTGGCGCGGGCTGATCGCGGCGGTGGTTGGCGGTGCGCGCCGGCGCGGGCTTGCAGGCGGCTGCAGTTTCCCCTGATGTGCCTGGGAGTCCGCTCGGGGCACGCGGCGGCGGCCCTCGGCAAGCGGTGGCGGGCGCTGGGCTCTCGGTGGCGCTCCGGCGTGTGCAGGCGGCGGCGGTCCCTGTGCGCGGTCGGCGGCTCCGTCTCTGACTCGGACGGCGCGGGGGATGGCGGTGGCCCGACGTGGCCGACGATCTATATGCGGTGGTGTTGGCGGCCCGCTGATCTGCCGGTGCTCCAGGGTTCTGCCTGGTGGTGACGGCGGCCCGTGAACGAGAGTTGAATCCCTTCAAACTGATCTGGGTGAACACTTGCCTTCGGCGTATGCTAAGGCCGGCAGTGGCGACGCTATCTGCGTTGTTCCCTTCTTAAAGCCATCACCGTGGAGAAGTTCAAGGCCACTCTCTGCTACCTCTGAGGGAAACCCTAGATAGGATGATCGGATAACGGCGGCGCTCTGGTGTTGTTCCTTCCTTGGGGGCGTCATTCTTGGAGGTACACACGTGATCGAGGGACCAGAGGACGGATTCTTTGGTGGAGCGGTCCTTCATCCTACACACTGATGGCGACGGATCGTGACGGCATGGAGCAGTGCAGATTCGGAGTTCGCTGTGGGAGGATGAACTCGCGCAGGAGGATGACGCTGTTGGGCGTCATGGTGGCGTCGATGGCAGAGAGACCTGACATGGTACATGCAACAGTACAGCTCTGAAGATGGATTGGTGGCAGGTGGCTGCGGCGGTCTCATACCCGGCAGGCGTCCTGGTTGAGGAGTGCACCGGACTGGTAGGTGCCCCATACCCGACAGGCGTCCTGGTTGGGACCTCAGGTCTTAGATGTTTAGGTTTGGCTGCGATGTCTGTTTGGTATGAGGCTCGGACTATCTCCGCCTCTTCTTCAATTGGATAGGTGTAGCGACAGCTGTTGCTTAGACGGTGGCTTTAGTCTTGCTGTTGTATGGCTTTGTAAGGCCTTGTGAGAATAATTAATAAAGTGGCCGTATGCATCGCCCAGATGCGGAGGCAGGGGGTCATCCTCCTTTTCTAAAAAAATGTAACAAGGACCGGGAATTATAGAGATATATTTAAAATGGGACAAATACTCAGTTCCCATGACACTCAATGCTGAAAAGTGCGAGGCCACCAGGTAAGCTGTTGAATAGAATGTAGATGCAAGTTTATGGAAACAAGTATCGATAATACATTTGCATCTCCATACATATATCTCTTCTCTTATAAAACCGAGTTGGTGATGATGGTATGCCTGCCATCTTGCAATATAGACCGTCCGATCTATATCTGACTGATAGAAATTAAACTAAAAGATACCCGCACCCTCTCTCTACATTTGCAGACAAGGCCTTTCCTCGTTCATCCTTATCTCTCACAACCTCATTGTTGAGCAATTAAAAAAGGTAGCCTCTGGAACAAACTGGCATGGTGGTCGTTGCCAGTGTCGTCCACCCCATGCCTCCGCTCAGTCCGACCACCAATCACCACCATGCCCCACTCCTCCTCACCTTATCTCTCCTCTTTCTCGAGATATCATTAGTTTTTACATATGAGATTACTTCCACATGGGTCAATCACAATAGGTGTTTTTATATAAAAAAATGCATCTTGATTTTCCGTGCAATGCACACACATCTTGTTGGTACTCCTACAGAAGACTTAGTTGGTGATGATGGTGTGTCTGCCATCCGTCATTTCTGACCATTAAATCTACATCTAACGA